AAAAATAGTACAACGAAGGTGTACCGAGAAGTACTACATAGAAGATGTCTGAAGTTACTACAAAAACTCCCCCGATTGAATGACTGCTACCATACTGGAAGATCCCCTCCAAGATCAATACTATCTCCCGAGGTGACGATGTCTGTGAATCTCGAGGCTTTGGACAAGGAAGCGCAGGTGCTTCGCGCCGCTGTGGACGGTAAGCAGGTGGACGAGGCCACCAAGCTGCTCGCACAACTGAAGGTGCGTTCTGATTGTACTCAGCTGCTCCGAATTCCAAACACAATCTTCATTAACCCGCTCTTCTCTTCCGACGTTTAGATGGCGCTGACAAAGCTCCCGGCGCTGCCTCCATGCGGCATCGACTCTCCAAACGCCAAGCAGGAGCTTCAACTCGCGCGTATGTGACTATTATCCTGTAATTATTCGTATTTATCTAACGATTTCTCTTAGGCCACGTTTTGGAGAGCGCCACGCTGCTGAGCATCCTCCGCGAGGACATGACGGCGTTCGAGCGCAGCATGATCCAGCTCAAGATCTACTACAACAGCGGACTGGAGCGTTCCCCACTGCACTACCCGATCCTGGGCACGAGGCTGCTGCAGCTACTCGTGGAGAACCGCATGGCCGAGTTCCACAACGAGCTGGAGCTGCTCCCCGAGCAGAGCCGCCAGGACCCCAACATCGCCTTCGCCGTCAAGTTGGAGCAGTATCTGATGGAAGGAACGTACAACAAGGTGCTAGAGTCGCGCACTAATGTGCCCAACCCGTACTTCCCCTTCTTCCTATCGCAGTTACTGCAGACTGTGCGTGAGAACATCGCCGACTGCGCCGAGGTGGCCTACCAGTGTCTCACACTGTCGGACGCGCAGAAGATGCTCATCTTCGACTCAGCTGCTGAACTGACCGCCTACATTCAAGAGGAGAAGCCAGAGTGGGTCGTGCGTGAAGGCCGCGTGTGGTTCAAGGCACCAGAAAAGTCTCTGGGCGCCTCGGACATTCCTTCCTTGAGACTAGTGGGCGAGACACTGGCGTACGCTACGGAACTGGACCGTATCGTATAAGAAAAACAGGCTCAACAAGTCACGACAACAGGTAGGGGGTTATCTGCACTCAAAACCATCGAATAATTGTCGTGACCAGCGTCAAATTACTCACAAGACTTTGATTCATTTTCAATTTGCACTTCTGTCAATTCGTAACTCACTACAGGCAGCTCATAACGCAGTTAGTGGTAGATATACTGCTTGACGGCTTTCGTCTCTCGACGTTTCTTGGCAACAGGAGCGCCAAGAACTTTGTCCAGCCACACTTGCGTCTTGTTCGGGAGCGTCGATCGTGATTCCCACACTGCGTTCTCCTGGTTGATCCACTGGATCATGTACAGCACTTCTCGTTGCTGTGTGGTCACGTTGATCACCTCTCTGCGTTCATGAGCCACCTTAATTTGATACTGACAGGCTCGCTTGGCACGTTCGCGCTCTCGGAACATCTCGATGAGTCGCTGCGGGATGTTCTGCTCGGGTTCCCACGTGAGTTCATTGTAGCCATCCCACTTGACGAGATACAAATCCACTTCCTTCTGACGCCGACCTGCCGACATGATAGATCGTCCTTCCTTGACGCACAAAATAGCCTCCACGATATACACGTCCTCCTCATTCAGATCGAACATACCGTTCTCGTCGTCAGTGGACGAGTCGTGGTCCTTGGTCTCTTCTTCTTCTTCTTCTTGATCTTCCTCTTCTTCCTCCTCGCTATCATCCAACTCAATTGCAGAATTCGACGAAGATCCTGGCGCATCCTTCTTCTCGTAGGACAAGTACTTGGCATCTGCCTTCCCTGAGACCACCTTGTCAGCCCGAATCTTAGCTACAACTGCAGCTAACTGGGCCTTAGAGGACAATCGAGCATTACTTGTCGTCGTTTCTTCTTGCTTGACAACCTCCTTCTTTGGTTTCTTCGATGTGCTGCGCTTCTTGGGCTTTTCAGGGGGCGGACTATTCTCCAACTCTGGCATAAATTCTGCTTCGTCTGAATCGGAATAGCCTCCCTGGTATTCCGGCTCCTCTTCTTCCTCACCAGACTCGTAGACAACCTCGTCTTCATCCACAAACGACTCTCTTTTGCTTCGTCTAGTCTCTCTCTTTAAAGCCTTCCGTTTACTGTTCTTTTCAGCACGTAACGCGTCATCCAACGACTCCAAAGAGCGTTTGCGACTCAGTTTCGGTTTGGTCTTCTTCTCGGCTGCTGCTTCTAATTGCAGCTTTGTCAGCAACTCCATCAACTCTGCAGACGTGGCGGAGTCCTTACCTTTATCCAGCTCCATCCACTTCACTACTGCCTTATATTTTTTAGTGCCGAACTCAATATTCTGACACATCGGCAGTTTGCGAAGCTTCTTAAGCACAGATTTGTCATATGTGCTCGGGCTCTCCGCCTTCGGACTGAGCGCTTTCTTCGTGACGGTTTTCTTGGTCGTTCTAACCTTTTCAGAGCTCTTTCCACTGCGTGGAGATGCGCTGGAGCTGCGGCTTTTGCTCTTCTTTATTGCTTTTACCTTTGTGCTCTTCTCTGTCTCTTTTTCTTTAGATTTTTTCTTCTTTTTGGTGGTAGAAGCCTCTTCACGTCGTTTACTCTTCTCTTTACGACGTTGCAGCATAGCCTTGCGCTTCTCGAACGCCTCAGTGACCTGTACCCATGTGGTAGTGACTGACTGCGTCTCTGTCTGCAGTTTCAGTGTGTCTGGGAGCGGCGGCGCGTCCTCCAACAGCTTGGCCAGGACGTGGTCCATGCCCAAGTGCATCTTGCCGAACAGCTCGAGCTTCTTGGGGCTTTTGGGACGCGCCGACGCGTCCTGTGTCATGTGGATACGATGGATCAACGTCTTGGCTGAGAGGAAATGGGGCACGAAGGCTCTGAATGTGGTAATAGGCTACGGACGGAGGGCGCGACGCTCGCTCTTCCTAAATGATTGGGGAGATCGATGTATGGAAGGCTCAATTTGAGTACCGTGGCCTATCGCTTTAAATACGAGCTGTAGGTTGCATTTTGCAATAGTGAAATCAACTCATTGCAAAGAGCACTTATCAGATTTTAGAACGATTTTTGAACAAGAAGAAACTTATTAAAAAAAAAGAGAGAAACTACGGTAAAACCCGAAGGACAGAGATGGCTACATTGAACGAACCAAGTTCGTCAACTACGCCTTGCCAGTGTGGATGTTGCAGATGCGGCCCTCGTCGTTGAAGGAGAAGGTCGACTTGACCGAGATGGGGATGTAGAAGATCTTGACCACCCCGCGCACAACCACGTGCTCGTCGTCGCCGTCCTCGATGGCCGGTGGCTCCCATTTGCCTTCGATCTTGGTCTTCTCCAGGTACTCTTGGAACTGCTCTTTGCCCTGGTAGCTGCCGTCTCGTTGGCTGTAGAACTGGATGTCGTCACTCACAAGTTGGAGAGTCTCCTTGGTGCGCTTCTCGAGACGCAGTGCGACATACTTCTTCACAATATCCACATGCTCCTGCGTGACGGTCGAGGCAATGCCCATGGTCGTTGGTAGAGCTGTTGTGTCTGGTAAAGCGAATTAAGAAATGAACCGCCCAGACCAGGTTCGCAGTGGTCCTCTCTTCATTGAACTTGAGCAAAGATGGAGTCGCTTTTGATGCTACTGCCAGTAGCCTACTGGTAGCCTACCCGTGGTAGGAGTGATAGCGGGTTTAACGTCTCTGCTCGTTCTTCGACCAGCGAATCACCGATTAGTCCACCAAGGACAATTTCAACACGCTTTGCCAGGCAAGGCTTGTCACCGAGCAGGCGATGCTCTGGTGCTGACAGTGTAGGCTTTCGTCCCCATTTCGCACCCCACGACTACATCTTAAGCAGCAGGCTTGCGGAAAATTGCGCAAATGTAGCCATCTGCTTCAAGTCAAGGTACTATTCGCACTTTACCGGATTTCTCTATGCTGCAGCTCTTACAACGTCACTATCGAAGATGGCAGCCTCCTCCGTCGCCGTGCCGGCGCTACAGGAGCCTCCTGACCTGGAAGCCGTGGACCTCGACAGCCAATCCGAGACGTGCTCCACCACCTCCAGCTTCGCCGTTCGCGTGGGCGCCACTGACGAAGACGTAAGCGACGCGGTGCCCAAGCGTCTCGAGAGTCCGGGGACGCACGAACACGCCGAGGCAGCACTACATCTCACTTCGTGCGTTATTACATCAATATGCAATTAGAGAGGGAAGTGTGCTGACTAACAAACTGATTATGCAACCTTTTTTTTTTGTTTTTGAAGTGACCTGAAGACTTTTATCAACACTTGCATCGCCTTCTTGGGGTCCGGAGTGTTGGGCTTGCCGTATGCATTTCGCAAATGTGGTATTTTGGTGCGGAATGGCAACAATTATTGTCGTGGGAATTTCATTGTCACTGACGTTTAGTTTTTAGATGGGCTTGGTGACGCTAGTTGGAGTGGCGGCAGTGAGCACATACGCCATGATGCTCGTGGTGCAGTGCAAATACAAACTCAAGCAACAGGGCAACATCATCTCCAAGTACGGAGAGATCGGATACTTTGCCATGGGTCACATCGGCTCGGTCATTGTCAATACCGCCCTCGTGATCTCGCAGACTGGATTCTGCATCGCCTGTACGAATTCTGATGATGTACTGACTTTTCGAATTATTTGATGACATTTTTTTATTTTTATTTTGTACAGATTTGATTTTTATTGCATCCAATGCGCACAAGTTCTTGGACGTATCAAAGCAATTGGTGGTTTCAGTTTGTGTGCCGCCACTTGTTGGGTTTTCATTGCTGCGGCACATGAGAGAGTTGGCGTATGTGGCGCTACTCGCTGATTTCATGTGCATCCTTGGCCTGCTGGTTGTGCTCAATATTGATTTGAGTTACATGGATCTGGATCACGACTACATCGAGCCTATGGGTGTAGTATCTGCCATTCCCTTCTTCTTTGGCGTGGCGAGTTACTGCTTTGAAGGGGTTGGAATGGTGTTGCCACTGGAGAATTCGATGCGCAACAAACACAACTTCATGCCGATCCTCGTGTGCACGGTCGTGATCATCACGTCGTTGTATGCCACGTTCGGTATCTGCGGCTACCTCGCTTTCGGCAACGACACGAATGCCGTTATCACTCTCAACTTCGAAGGCAGCGGCGGCTTGGTCACGCTCGTCAAGATTTTCCTGTGCTTGGGGCTTTTCTTTACATACCCCGTGATGTTATTCCCAGTATTTGAAGTGCTCCAACCAATGGTGGCATGTGGCAACAAGCTTGAGAACCCACAAACCACTCAGAAAAAAGGGATTCTTCTGCGTGCTGGGATTGTGTTACTCACCGCAGTGGTCGCTGCCGGTATTCCAGGTAAGAATTCTGTTGTCTATTTACTCTACGCTAGACTAACTCACTATTTTGTGATGTAGATTTTGGCCGATTTATTTCGTTTATTGGCTCGACATGCTGCTCGTTACTGGCTTTTATCTTACCAGCATTTTTCCATTTACGTCTCTTTCAAGATGAACCATCGACGTGTGGGAACCGCTTGCACCAGCTTTTCCTGTGTGGGATGATGCTCCTAGGTTTTGTGATGCTGGGAGCAGGTGTTGTCGAAGCAATCGACAGTGTATTCTAAGTCAAGACTACCCGTTCTCAACAATGGAGAGGCGAAAAACTGCAAAAATTAATGTCAGAGTGTCGTTTTTTTTCCCTTCTGTATGGATTAACAATGGGTTGTAAGTAGACATTTCTCATCCCAGCGTTTTGTGTATATTCCTTTCTATCGCGCCCAATGATATGTGCAAAGGTACCGAGTCTGACACGTGATCGTGGCGTACGTCCACGACCCGGCACAATTGACATTTTTGTTGTTGAGATCATTGCTGAATATAACGCGTTACCCAATATCCACGTTGCGTTTGGGTGAGTGTTCGGCGTCATATTGGATAAAGTCTCCTTAAGGAACTCCGGTGATATCCGCCAAAGGTTTTAGAATATCATACAGTACTCCCTCGCGGCATCTTCAAGAATGAGACCTTCATGTATACAGTATACACTATACTATTACCCAGTCGATCTTCGGCGATGATAGCACCTGTCACTCGTAGTCCAGAAATCCCCTCCTCTGTAGTAGAACTTCTATGATCACCGATTATCACTACGATGGTATCGTTGACTATTCCTTCAATTGCCATTCGATCCATGAGATTTCCCATTGCCAAGTCGGAAAGGTTCCGCAATTCAAGTAGTTTTATGGAGATCTGCGCTCTCCGATTCTTCGTTTGATAAAGGGCAGAGAATCCGGGGTTTCGTTTTTCGCGTACCATTACGGACGCTCGATGAATGGGCCGTGACTTGAGATGTAAAATGTGCGAGAAACACCGGGTTTTATCTTTTCCTTGGGCCATCCAATCACGTTATTCCTTGGTTTCATTGACGAATAGATCACCTAGAAGTTGAAACTTATGTCGTCATGGACTTATGTCGTCATGGACGCCTCAATGGTGGCTTCTCTAACCTGAGAACCGTACCATTGATCATGTGAGATACCCAAGTGAAATTCGGCCAGTTGAACGAACTTTCGGTTATTTCACACATAGTCGAAACTATTTGTTGAAAGGAAGATGTCCCAATGATCGAATTCGGTAGGATAGTAGAACCAGTGGTGAAGAATGTCTCGTGTCCTTTGGCCGAGAAGAGCGGAGGGAAGTCAACAAGCTCGGTGTGCTTCTGTCACTAGAAGTGCCTGTATGGGCGGCACTATCGTATATAATTTGCAAATTCTCCGACGCCCAACTACTACGAATTATTGACCAAACGTTTATTATGATTGCGATGCCTCGCGTTACCCACTTGTCGAAATTTGGAGTTACCGTACAATTTTCCCTTTGAACAGTTCGAGGGGTCCTCGTCACTGACTAGGTAATGTGGATCATGGAATCGGAAGGACTCTACTGCAAGGAGCAGAACTTTAGGCGGTTGTCAGCACTGATCTCGACATTGAACGCTAAATCCCCTTGGAACTCTGTCGTTCTTCAATAAAGGGTATTGGGACCGAATAGTGTAAAATTCACAGTGGTATTGTGGATAAACGTTTCGGCCTAAAAAAAAAACTCTCGAGCCCCCGTTTGTGCCAGTAGGTTGTAAAACGTGAAAAAGAGTTCGTTGAGAGAGATGTTTGGTTCATCACAGAGTATTATTGCGCAGATCCGGATGACTTGCTGTCTGGAGCGAATGTTTATTAATGAGAGATGAATAGAGAGACTTTCGACGGTATCTAAACTGCCTACTACAGACTCTCTACACCAACCATCGCTACATCTACCCCGTAATCGTGATGCATCATAATCAGCCGCATGATCCAGTACCTTCGTAAACTCGTCCGCGTAACCGTTACCGTCATCAGTGAGCTTTACCGACACGATCGAGCTAATACCGTCAACCTCGGCAACAAGTACGCAACTATATTAGGACTTTCATGGTGTGGGCTGGCCATATATGCCTTTTCTTTTTTATTTGCTTCTCATGACTATAGATTGGCACGTTTCGAAGAGTATGACGTCACGTATTAATACATGTATTCAATGATTAAATATTGACGAATACTTCGATGTAATATTAGTCATTATGAAGAAGAGCCCAGGCTATGCATGATTTCCCCACGTGCACTGCGGAGTGGTTACCGCAACCGTATCTGCGACATGAATGGTTGCTATAATTCGGCCTATGGTTGCTTTTATTAGATTTCAAAAATTTCCGGGTAATATAAAATCCAAAAATTATGAAGACCCAGATTAATGTTCAGCCACACAACCTACCCGCTTAAGTTCGAAACCCCAATTAAGTACGATCACTCTGAGCCGCTCATTTTAGGAATTGCGCGGGAGAGTGAAGACGCGTGGCAGCGAGAGGAACGAGCCAGCGCAAGGCATGGACGACGAACAGGACGCTCCGACGCCTGGTACGCGTTGCGCCGAACGTGTTCTTGGTGTATCATACTGGTAACTAATTTATTATGCGTGGAATTATAGGCCAGAAACGAAACACAAGACTAGGAGACATGTATGCTGCTCTTGGTATTGAAGATGACGGAGATAGCAGCGATAACAGCAAGGACGAGGACTATTTGGTGGAAGAAGAAGAAGAAGAAGAAGAGGACATTCATGAGGCCGGTAAGAAAGCTTTGTAGTTTGAATTAAGCGGAGGGTCAATGCCAATAGAAGGTGTTTGTGAATTAGATCACGAGACGTCTACGATCAACTCCAAGAAGAAGAAGAAAACTGTGAAAGCAGCAACAACAGGTAGAGTACAGTGGTTGCTTTATGGTTTTACAGTTGCTTTACGATGTTAATGGTTGTAATATGGCCATTTCTTTTATTCATATCTATGGCCAGCACATCCGGAAAGGGGAAAAGGTCAAACATATCTTCTCCTCACGTGGTGGGACCCTTCCACCCGTTGAAAAGAAGGAAGGTGGTGAACGAGGAAGCTCTCTCTCCAACTGGCTCAAGCGGGAGTGTTGTTTACAAGCTGAAAATCCCTTCTTCGCCTGAATACATACCCAGACAACGAGCAAGCAAGCATCTCGAAGAGCTCGAGCTAATGGAAACCGGAGATGATGAAATCGTCAATGTCGTTCCCCCGTTTGCTCCGAAGGACTCGTTTTCATCTTGGAATGATTTTGAGAAGCATTTCAAGATCTACAAGCAGAAAAATAACTTGAAGTTTCGAGTGCGTAGCTCCGAAAAGATGGAGAATTATAACAAGTACGGTTGCTTTATTGATATGGTTGCCTTTAGTGTATTACCGATTTTATGATGCTGGTATTGCGCAGGGCCCATGAAGACCAAATGCCCACGGAGTTCGAGTTCACACACAAGATTTTTCGGTGCACTCATGGGGTCTCCCAGAAATCGAGGTCGAAGGGCCACCGCAATCGCAAGCAACGATACTGCAAATGCAAAGCACGACTAACAGTCGTAGTCACAAAGATTGTGGGTAACGTGTACGGAATTGTAACTCGAAATCAGGTATGTTTCGATTGAGAACGTTGTTTAGCCTTTCAATACTAATATGCAATCTCTCTGTTCAGAATCATACGCATTCACACCCAACTACTTCAACGCAAGCGTCCACGTACCTGACTACGAAGACCCTCCCACTGGACAACGAAGACCGAGAAGACGTGAAAACGCTAGTAGATGCTCGAGTTTCCTCTTCACACATTACGAATTTCCTGAATGATCGAATTGGTAAGTGCTTTTCAGTTGTTGTGGGAGCATTTGAATCGATGCTAATTCCGTTTGGTCAATACCACATCTACAGGCTGTAAAGTAACCCCACAGCAAACCCGAAATCTTATTCGGGGCATTACGGGGCAAGATTCAGCAGAAGAGATGCTCAAAAACATGCTCCATGCTCTTCGGCAGGTAGATGGAAGTGACGTGCTCGTTATGCAGGACCAAATGGATGCCACCTGTGGAATCGTTATGCAGACGAGGGTGCAGAAGATGATGTTTGAACAATGGGGTGAAAATTTGACGATGGATTTCACTCATGGAACAAACAACCTTGGCTACCATTTAGGTGTGTATATAGCAACCTTATTATTCGATAAAGCAACTTTTCTGACGACTTTGTTTACTTCTCTGTAGGGAGTTTGGTTGTCACGACTTGCACTGGTCGGGGTTTTCCCGTTTTAGACTTCATTTGCCTGAACGAGTTCGCGGTTACGATTAAAATAATTCTGGAATACTTCAAGGAGAAGAATGCAAAATGGGAAGGTGTGACGAGGTGGTGATCGACAAGGACTTTACGGAATGGAAGGTTTTGGAGGAGTGTTTTCCGTCGGCACACATACTGCTTTGTCAGTTCCACGCTATCTCGTACTGGAAAAAAGTGATGAAACGTCCGGTTTATCACATCAAGGTCGTCGAAAGCGAAGATCTACTCGAGTTGATGATGAAGCTTCTGTATTGGTGCGTTATCATACTAAACATGTAACTATAGAAATGTCTAACCAGCTCTGTACGTTTATCAGTCATACGGAACAAAGCTATGAGGCCAGGTATGACGAGCTCAAGAAATACTGCAAAATTTCGAAGAAACAAGCCTTCTTTGCTTATTTCGAGAAAAACTGGAACTCCTGTCGTGCAATGTGGTCGAACTACGCACGTGGGAAACATTTCACTGCTGGCAATACAACTACTAACCGGATCGAGAGCAACTGGAAATATCTGAAAATGCTACTCGGACGGAAGATACGAATTGACAGAACGATTGCTGGCTTACTTCAGCACCAGATGACTATCACGCGGCAGATTGTGACCGAAATCGGGCAGCAACACTCTACGTCGCGGATGCTGAATACGATCCCCAAGTTTTTAAGGGCTGTAGCAAGAAGAATTTCTTCTCACGTTTTGGAGAGGGTGAAAAAGGAATGGGAGAGGTTCGTGAATCAGATGGAGAAGACAACATGCGAGCGCAGATCGAGTAGTCATCAGTGGAAAGTGTATTTTTTGCATTACGTGTACGAGTGTGACGAACTGGATTGGACGTGTACCTGCCTGTTTTACTCCAGCAACCATTTGCCTTGCTGTCATCTGATGCACGTAGCCAATCAGGGCAATGGCTTCCAAGCACTACCTGGGATGTCCATTGATGAACGATGGAGTACTTTTGAAGCTTTGGATTTCAAAGAGGAGCTGTCTTCTGCAGCTGATACTCTACAACCAATTGTGAACATGTCGAAGTTAAAGTTGCCGAAGCAGAAGTTAAGGTTGCCGGATGAAACAGGCTCAACCGAGTCGAAGCGGAAACCTACCGATCTCGAAACAGAAAAAGAGGTTGTCTTCGTTCGGCTCCGTCGAAACGAACGGGCCAACCAGGTTGTTCTTAGCTCTGCCGAGAAGTATTCTTACGCTAAGGCCATGTTAGAGCCTTTGCTACAGCATTTATCCGAGTTGTCCAGTGCTGATTACTACCAGGAGCTGAG